TAGGGTTGCTTTCGGGTGTGCACTATTTTCTCCGACGAACTGTTTTCTTGCTGCTATTAATGGGGAATTACTATGTTCTCCGGACCCTCTTATGGCGGAGGCTATGGCGTGTCGTGAAGCTCTATCATGGATCAAGACGCTTGATATTCATAACGTGGAGATCTTGATGGATTGTCAACGTGTGGTTTCAGCAATTTCAGACACTTCATTCTCTCTTACTTCTTATTTTGGTTCATTAATTGTTGAATGTAAGGCCTTGTTGGTCGGTTTTTGCTCTAGTTCTATCAGTTTTGTTCGTAGAGAGTTAAACGTTGTTGCTCATTCTCTTGCGAGGAGAGCAGAGGCCCGTCGTTCTGTTTGGGTTTCTACTCCCCCGGATTTTGTAATCTCTCTTTTACAATAATGAAATTTCTTTACTTTCAAAAAAAAAAAAAAGAGTTAAATAGAGATTACTTTCAATCCTATTTGAACTGTGATTTTAAAACTCCATATCTGAATAGATTACTTTCAATTCTACTAATATTTGGAATATATAGTATTAAAAAAATCAAACTTAATTTTCCTATGATAAATTGTAAGGAGTAGTAAAGTATCGAAAGAATCAAATTTGTCATTTATGCCAAATTTATCTATTACTCCGTACAATGAAGTTGTCGCATTAATTCACAAAAAATTAATACACACGACCATTACTCTCGTGTCAATAAACACGATAACTCGGATTTTTTAGCAGATATTTTCGTTTGAATGAGTATCTTAATTCACGTTTTCCAATTAAAATGACCAAAGTTTATTTCTGGTTTAAAATGTTTAATTAATAGTTAAGAAAATAAATTATAATCGATTAGTCATTATTTGTATTTATATTTCCATTATTTTTTAATCACATATACTCATATAAAAAAGTAGGGTACCTAAAAAAGTTCGATTTATTCTGATTTGGTTCGATTTTCTAAAATAAAAACCAAAATAAAAACTAAACAATAACCGTTTGATTCAATTTTTTACATTCGAATTACTCCTTATTTTTTACATTAGTCCTATATCATTTCGCGGGATCTTCAAGCGTGCGCCGAATTACTCCGTATATTATCACAATTAACGGCATACGCGCTCACGCGCTCAACGGAACGAGGCGATCTCGTTGTCCCGCCCGCCCACCCACGTCCATCGGAACCAAACAGTCCAATACGGCGGAGCGATAGAGAGAGAGAGAGGGTTAAAGGCTGTTCGGAGAGCTGTAGGGAGAGAAACTGAGCTGCCGAGTCATTCCGTTGGCGCTCGAATTCCAGATCTCCTTCGTTGCCGCCGCGGTGTAGATTTTTTTTCGTTCTCGCCTGAGATTCGGAATCGCCGCCCCGCAGATCGTCTCGCTTTCCTCGAATTCCGATCGCGCAGAGCTGTAGATAGAGTATGTGAAGAAGAGAATGGACGAGAAAGGCGGAGAAGGATCTTTTGTGGCAGTTAGGAGAATTTCGCCGGGCCTCGAGAGAAGCAACACTTGTAATTCACCTTCTCTCTCTCTCTCTCTCTCTCTGCTATTTTTGTACAACAATACAATACTTTCCTTTCTAAAAGTAACTGATCATTCGTTCAAACGATATCGAAATAGAAAATTAAATTCTACGTTGACATTTCTCTCCCTCCCTCTCTCTCTCTCTCTCTGTCGACGTTTCTACAGTAGCTATTTTTTGCGGTGCTCTGCACTGTATCTCTATCAGATGCTAGATGTATGGTGTCTCTATTTGATGTGAGCTTTGGATCTTTGAATTGGAAATTAGCTTGTGCTTCATGCCTAATTGCATTGAGATTTGTGGTGAGTTTGCAATTTGATTTCCCCTGTCTCTGGATTTGAATTGATTTTAGTTTGTGCATATATATATTCCTTGTCGCTATTCGAAGTTTTTTTTAATTTTATCTCATTTATTATTAGTTGTGAGATTGGTGGGGTATGTGTATATTGCTGGCCTAGATGCATTGGATCTCAAAATTGTGGACATATTTGGTTTCTTCTATCCAATTTTGTCCATATATCCAACAAGCTTAGGTAATCTGCTAAATGATTACCTGGTAGCTGCTTTACAAGTGGTTCACAGTTTTTTTTGAAGGTTCAGTTGCTAGATGACAGACAATATTTTGAACACTTTATTCAATCTATGTATTATTTGGGTAATTTCTGTGTTTTTTTCAACTTGGTGCTAAATTTACATAGCTAGAGTTTCTTATAGTTATTATTATTTTTATTTAATTCAAGCAAGTAGTCATTCCTCATTAGTGGCAGTATGATGAATTGGAACAAAATGGTTTGGGTGTCTAAGATTTTCTTTTATCGCAGCGGAGGTTTTGGCAGGATCTGCAGCATGGCTTGGCAGAGGGCTTTCATGTGTTTGCGTTCAAGCAAGAGAGGGTGATACTCGGCCCTCATTTAATTTTACACCTGCTGAGGTATTATGATTGAGCCAATGAAGCTTATTTATTGTTTCTGCCAATGGTGTAATGAAGCTTAACTGAACTTTGTCAGAAACTCTGTTTTTTATGAACATCACAGAGTCCCCTCCGCTCTTTTCCCTATCATAGATTCATAGGTTTTTTAAAACCTTATTCTCTCTCAAATGTGCTCATTTGGCAGTAACATACACATTTGCACTTTTTATAATACATGCTTGCAGTAGTGCCATTGTTATGTGTAGTTGAAATGCTATATTCTGTCAAGTGTCTGCTTTGTCCAAAATCTAATTATACTATTCAATAGAGGTTTTATGGGTTTAAGGCAATGATATTTAACTTTGGTGATGCCAGGAAGAGTGCTTGCATAAGCTGCAGAGCCGTATGGATGTTTCTTACGACAGTACAAATTCAGAACATCAGGTCCACACGTTTTCAATAAGTAATGAGTAGTAAAAAAATCTACAGAACTGTATTAATGTTTCACATCATTAGTGCTCATTTTCCCTGGTTCTGAGTTCTGACAGGCAGCTTTAAGGGCGTTGTGGGATTCTGCCTTTCCTGGAGAGGAGCTACATGACCTTATATCTGAGCAATGGAAGGAAATGGGCTGGCAAGGAAAAGATCCTTCAACTGACTTCAGGTATATCAGCTCTCTTTTACTCAACAATTGCACTTCACCTTACAGCTTGGCAATTACCCTTCTGAGTGCTTAGTTTAGATTGTGCCGCTGTGAAACTTCTTTCAATCTTGTTTTGTTGTCTGTTCCATGTAGGGGAGGTGGGTTTATATCACTGGAAAATTTATTATACTTCTCGAAGAACTATCCAGTAAGTCCTCTCCACTGTAATTCCTTTTTCTTTTGTTGGATGATATTCAAATGGCCTAGAAGATTAATCGGTTTCATCTCTGACTCACAATTGCACTTGGCTGCTGACCAAACAGTCATGTTTGTTGCTGACTCACAATTGCACTTGACTGCTGACCAAACAGTCATGTGTTAATTGCTGACTCATTATTGCACTTCCAGGACAAATATTTGAGGATTTTTGCCTATTTCAGTTACTCTTTTCTTAATTAAACAATCCCGGGAAATGTTTTTCATGTCTTAATGTTAACTTATAAGCCTTTGAAATTGTTAGAAGTGCTTGTTATTGCTTCTATCTAAACTTTCAGTTAAGGATTTCATAAAAGAAAAAAGTCTCTGTCTTCAGGTTCTGGTTGCTATTTCTAGTCTCAATAGGCAGGAGAAGATTCGATTTTGTTAGAGCATTGTTACATCTTTTTAAAGGAGGGAGAGGAATATGTAATGATTGAAGACGTCTCTCTGTCATTGTTTAGAACTATTCTTAATTTTCTGGATCGGTTTTTTTAATAAATTATGACGAGCAGCAATTCCTGAGGTTGAATACTTCACCTACTCTATGTGTTCTGAAGAGCCTAGTGAAAGGGAAAATCCATTGAGGAAAAATAGTCAAGCAATGAAAACATTTTTAGGAAACGCTTGATGCCTCTTTTCCCTAAACTTAAATATCAGGTGTAGTCGAAGTGGCTATGCAATGTATATTGTATACTATCTACCCCCAACCGCCATTTTTTTAAAAAGAGTGTAGGCTCTCCACTATATTGCAATGTACTTGCAGAAGTTGTTGCTTGTGACTCTTGGACATTTTGTTTAGTGTCAATAATGCCTTTTCTTCTTCCAATTCGTCCAAAACATCAATACGTCAAATATGCAAGTGAAAATTGCGGGTTTTAATCTTATTAAATATGTTTAAACTTGTCTCGGTTTACAGTATAGTGTATTCCATCTGTTCATTAATTCTTGTTTTTCTGCTTCCTGATGCAATATTGCAGAAGTCCTTTCAAGATCTCCTTCTAAAGCGGGAAGGCAACCGGTCTATGTGGGAATACCCATTCGCTGTTGCTGGTGTCAACATCACATTTATGCTCATCCAGATGCTAGATTTAGAGGCAGGTGCGTATTGCGTTACGTTCCGGTGCGCTTCACATTGAGCATTCATGAATGAAATCCTGAATTAGCAGCTCACATAGTCTGCATATGCTATTTTCTTTTTTAAGAATTAGGGCATTAAAAAATAAATTGTGACTTGGAATAATTTTATTTTCATGCTTTGTGACTTGGATGTTAAGATAGCTTCAGTAGATCATTCACTCATATTTTAAGGGAAGCATTTTGTGGGTTCTCATATTAGGAGCACTCTACCATTTTCCTCTAACTATAGCTAATTTGTGTTACATATCTGCAGTAAAACCACAAAGGCTGGTAGGGGCAACCTTCTTGAAATTTCTTGCAGGTAAATAATTGTGTCATTTAAGTGTCTTTGTAATTTCATGAAAGTTCACACTTGACTTGGTGAGGCTGAAAGAGTCAGAACGACTCAATGATAAATCCTTTATTTTTTTTTCATATGGGCAGATAATGAATCCGCATTTGATCTTCTGTATTGTATTGCTTTCAAGTTGATGGACCACCAGTGGCTTTCCATGCGAGCATCATATATGGATTTCAACGTATGTATTTTTCTTCTTCTTTAAGATCTTGTCTTTGGTTCAAAGATTTAGAAAGAAAAAAAAAAAGCAAATGAGAATTTTTGTTTTACCTTCTCATTTTCTTTTCCTTTTAATTTTTGTTTCTTTGGCTACATTTCAGACTGTGATGAAGGCTACACGGCGACAACTAGAGAAGGAACTTGTGTTGGAAGATGTAAAACGGCTAGAAGACTTGCCCTCTTACAGCCTTCTAATCCATTATTAAACTGTACACTCCTGTAGTCCAATATGAAATTTACTAAAAGCAAAAATGATCTGTATATATAGTGCTTCCTAACTGGAAGTTTCTGATTCATATTTTTTTTAAATTGCTATTTTCGAGACTGAAAAATACGCTCTAACAAATTCTTATCCTGCTTATTAACTGTGTTTGAAACTGAGAATGGCAAACCAAAACAACAAAAGACAGTATGCATCGGCTCTTAAGGTGAAGATAACACTCCTTTTTGCCAAAGTAGAAAAACAAAAAACACAAAGCATCCTTTAATAAAGTTTTACACTCAAATTCCCAAATAACAAGACATCACACAAGAGTTTTGATAAATATCATAATCAAATTAATTCTCATAGATCCAAGGGTGGAGCTCGCTCTTCCATTCCGCAACACCTTCTGGGAACCAAAGTGCAATTTCCTTCCTTGCGCTCTCAACAGAATCACTTCCATGGATAACGTTCCTACACGTGATAAAGCGCATAAATGAATGTGAAACTCCACTCGAACTGATAATATGAAATCACATATAATGCAGGTAGTAGTCATGTTGGTGTGGAGGCCAGTTTCGGGATTTTGATTTCAAATTCAAATTTGACCCATATTTACATGTTTGGAAATTGAAAAAAATGGATTTGAACGTGGGTCAAATTCCTCTAATTCCTAACGAAGTTCGAGGACACTTCCATATGCTCACCCTTATAATAAGAACTCAAATTTTAGAATTGAAATCCAACCTAGTACACTAATCAAATGGACCATAACATAGAAAAGCAGTAAAGTGATTTTTTACCTCCCAATGTCGATGGCAAAGTCACCACGGATGGTTCCAGGAGCAGACTGCAAGGGGTTTGTGGCTCCAATGATGGTCCTACCGGTTGCAACCACACCCTTTCCCTCCCACACCATTGCCACAACAGGCCCAGAAACAATGTAATCACAGAGACCGCTAAAGAATGGCTTTGCAGACAAATCAGCATAATGCTTTTCGGCGAAAGCACGCTCGACAGTGATGAGCTTCAAACCTTCAACCATACATAAACCTCATATCTCAATCCTCCAAACAATAAACTAAAGCCTCGATCTTTTCATTAATTTCACCCCATCATGAACGTTAAACATAAATTAACTAAAGCATCCAAACTTTTAGATCAAGGCCCTGTTTGGGGAGAATGTTTTTTATTAGCGTAAGCTATTACGATAAAAATTTGATGGCATAGATTAATTCTAAAAACACTAACGCTAAAGGCTACTGTCATATACCCTTTTCAAAAGGCAAACACTGATATCAAACAAGACCAAATTCAGTTCAATAAGCTCAACGGAGAGAAGCAAAACCTATGTAACAACACATGGAAGCACTTCTTCACATATTTTGAGGCTGTTTTGGATTGACAAAAGCAATACTTTTTCCAACACAATAGCAAATACTCCCACCACCGCCCAAAAAAAACTCTTTCATTCCCTTTTTGAATTTTTCAAAAAAAAAAAACAAAAAATCTCAACTTAGTAGATATTCTATTTTTAATAAATGAACATACAACTCAGAAGATTTCTGGAAAGATTCTAATCATACACTTTACAAAACACTTAAACTTCTTGTATGCCAAAATGGACAGAGAGTACTAACTCTGATGATCAAATTTTCATCTTTCTCATAAGACGATAGATCAAGCTTAAGGATTAGAGACTCAATTAACATCCAGCAAAATAATAAACACAAAGGTGATTCATCAAACCTCTGATCTATCAAAAAATTCTAACAATTTGACATAAAACAATCAAATTATAGATCTGCAGACAGTTCAAAATCGCAACTCCAACCCTAATTCATCCAGAAAACTAAAAAGAAATTCATCAGATACTAGCTGAAGAGAACTGTAACCTTTAAGGTAGAAGCCTTTCTTCTCAAAGCGGCCGATGATTTCACCAACCTGAAGCAAACAAACGCGACACAAAAACGATTACTCTGCAATTACAAAATAAAACTCATAATCTGCGTTTTGCTACAGAGAAGCTAATGACGGAGACGAACCAGGCCGCGCTGGACGCCATCGGGCTTAATCATGATGAAGGTCTGCTCCATTTCTGAATGACTCTTACGGGAAGCTTCTGGTTCGATCTTCTTAACACAGCTCAATCGGCAAAGGAAATGTCGGGAACACAGTGAATGCAGAGAAGATTTTATAGCGAGAATGGAAGACGGTAAAGCCCTAATTGCACGGATTCGAAAAATAGATATTGGGCTCTGGCCGGCCCGTGATGGGTGAATTTTTAAGCTCGTTGTAATTTGGGCTTTATTGTTTAGAGAGTCGGAATTGATTATTCAACCCGAATATTTCGAAATAAAATTATGATTCATTCATTCATCCAAGTAAAATAAAATAAATTCTCGGATTATTACCTAAAATTAGACGACCTGCATTGAATCCAAACTGAAACAAATGGAATCAAACTTGAATTAGACCTGAATCAAACACATCTAGTTTGAATTAAACCGAACATTCAAACCCCTAGTCGTGGCACCCGAACAAATCATAACCGAGACTATAAGAACTTAAAATGTGTATCTATTTAAATTGAAATCTAACGGAATCATTTGGTAATCGATGCAAAGTGCTCCTTTTTGTGTTTTCTTTCTTATTACATTGTATTTCCAAAACAAACGGTGCAAAGTGCTCCTTTTTGTGTTTTCTTTCCTTACATTTTCTTTACTTCAAGTTTCTTCTCGTTCAAAAGGAGAATAATAGAAGTGAACTAGACCAAGTTAAAGAGATTATAACTTATACACACACATGAATTTGAACCCAACACATCGGGGCTAAAATTTTACTGATTGACCATCAGAATCTATTCGAACAATATATATCGGGATTCAGCCCACTGGACTTTTACGTGTGAGTGAAGCTCATTATTTTTCAGGCCCACATTGTTATTATGAAAGGAGATCTAAGTAGGTACTTATGGAAAATGGGCCAACGGTCCACGCCCAAGAAAATGATGGCTAAGTTGGCCTAGAACGGGATACCCTTCAATAAGAAAATCAATTTATGGCTCAATTTTAACGGGCTTACTCTTTTACAAAAGGGTGAACAAAAAATTATATTCCCTCGGGTCCAAAAAAAGCCATATTATGTAGAACAAAAAAATTCAAAATTTTCAATTTTTTGTATATTGGTTTTATTATGAATTTAATTTCTAAAGAAATTTCTAAAATCGTACCCAATAACTACGTATTTATCCAAATTAGTTCATAAGATGAACTAATTACCAAAATGATACTCGTTAATTGAGAATAATGCTTAGTTTAGTCCCCCAATTAACGGCCGCACGTTAAAACGACATTAAAACTTTGTACTAACTTTCCATAAAGGTCATTTGATCTCTAATTGGATATTTTTTTCAATTAATCTAGATTTGAAATAAAAACTCATAAAAATGGTCATCCGATTTCACTCAAACATCGTAAACCAATTAAAAGGGAAGACTTCTGCTTCGGTTTTTTCATAAATAATAAAATTTTTTACTTCAAGAATGGATCAATTTGAGAAAACATCCAATAAGAAAGGACAACTTTTAAAAACTAGTATAAAATTTAACGTCGTTTTTACACCGTTTTGATTACTGTTAGTCGTGAGAACTAAATTGAGCATTATTTTCAATTATCGAGTACCACCTCGGCAATTAGCTCATCTTGGAAAACTGATTTGAGAAAACACGTAATTATTGAGTACATGTTGGATATCCTAAGCTGGGGGGTATCCAGCCCTACAAAAACAATAACAGCCCAACACAAGGCTCATCTAGTTGCAGGAACCGGACGCGCTCGGTAGAAAATGCCTCACTCGAATGATGAGACTTAATAGGAAACCAATCCTCAATGTGCCTACCACACTCGGACACACACCTACCTCTACTCAGCCCGAACCCATGCACTCGGACTTAGGGTCAGACTCGACCACGTCTTTGCTCAGTTGTCATCCAATGATAGATTCGCATGCTCGGCCTCTGTCGCAAGTAAAAAGCGTAGGTCTATCACAGGCATGAGATCTTGTACGCCTTGTCTACTCGACGAGCCCACACAAGGCCATCTATGATATTATCCGTCAGTATATTATTTGTAGCCACAACGTTTGTAATTATATCTCTTGTATTATTTAGTCAAAGATATGATTCTAGTGGACTCGGGCCACTACGTCATGTCCTAGACAACGGCTAGGAAACACAAGTATATGGCAAATCTATTGTATAAATACCCCTCCCTCTTGGGAGAGAAAATTCACACTCAATACTAAGCAAATTAAATATATTTACTCTGCACTCTTGCGACCGAAAAAGGCACTCAGCACTTATTCGATAAACTCATCAGTACCATTTAGGAAATTTACTCTAATTTCTATCACCCCAACACCTTTCAAAAAGGCGATGCCCTTGTTATTACTGTAAGTTTTTGTTTATGAACCTTTGGCCATCTTGAAACCAACATACGAACGCAAGAGACAAGAAATAGAATATAATCTTGAGACAAAGTGAGACCCCACGAAGGAACAAGTGAGAGGCCGGCCACACTCTCTATATAAATACATATCATCATTAATTTCTCAAGACTTTGTATACCTTGATTGAAATTGGCCATTATTGTTGCATGGAATTCATCACATATTTTGCCTTATTGTCTCTCTTTCTTTTTTTTTTGTGTGTTTTTTCAAATTTATTTGTTGGTATTTGGTTATTGAAATGTATTGAACTTTGAACTTTGCATTTTAAAATGATAAAATGATATTTTGAAAATATTTTATAAAGTTAATATAATAAAATGATTTTTGTATCAATATCTAATATCAATTTTGTTTAATTTATAAACAAAATTACCAAATTAATTTGACCGTAAAAAATCAAAAATAGATAAATACTTAGTGACGAAGGGATTACAATTAAGACCACCATTTGTTCTTGCTCCTCGATGTAGAAGGTGGTTTGCATCCCAACAGACCCAAAACCAACCTTAGATTTTAGTTGGAGTTCGAAACCGGAACTCGGTCTATTTAAATACCCTATGTAAAATTTGTACTAAATAGAATTAAAATATAATGACTTTCTCAATGTAGGACTTAAACTTTTTTATTCCTTAAATAGGACTTAAAAATGACCTAGTGAGAGGAATAATGTCCGGTAATGATGGACATTTACTTGAATAATGACTACTTGATAATGACCAAAAGTCCTACATTGGGAAATAAAAACATATGATCATATATTGGGAAAGTCATTATGTTTTAGTCCTATTTAGGTAAATTACTCTTTAAATATATACAGATATACCCCTTCTATGAATCTTTAGGGAATAATATTAGAGATTAGCGTTAACATTTTGAAAAGACTATATATGAGCAACGTTTAGCGTTAATATTTTCAAAGTAAGTTAAAATTTTATTCAAAATGTTAACTCTAATATCTAATGACATTCTCAAACACGCCCTACATCCTTTATTTTTAACTTTCCCAATTAACTGCATCTTAATTTCTTTAACTTAGGTTTTCTCAAAATTCTCCCAAATCAGAGGATGGACTATGGAGGCTAGTAAATAAAAGTACCCCTAGTTTATTTTTTTTCAAAAACCGATAATACCCCTCCTGTTCGAATGAAACTTGAAAATTCAAAGATGTGTGTCAGATAAATATATTCTACTTTGCATAAGAATTTACAGGAGAGCCAATAATTTACCTTTATGCAGAAAATCTTCACATATCAGTGAGATTAGACATTTTTTTAAATTAAAATATTTACTACTCCCTATAATTTACTCCCTCCGTTCCTAAATATTTGCCACATTTGTATTCCCAGACAAAATATCAAGTTTTTTCAATTCATTTTATTTACATATTGGCATAGAAATAAAAAATAAAATTTACATATCAAAAAACTACATGAAGAGTTCTTCGAAATAAGAGGTGTCAAGAATATTTTATTTTATCAAATAACCAATGAAAACGTAGAAATAAACAAAAGTTCCTGCGACTGCTGAAAAAGCAAACGTTGCAAATAATTTGGAACGGAGGGAGTATCTTTGCTTTCTCGACCAATTATTAGTAGGGGTGTTCAATCGGATCGATCCGATCCGATCCGATCCGAAAATTCGGATATCCGAAAATTTCGGATCATGTAAAACTCAATCCATATCCGATCCGAAAATATTCGGATATCCGAAATTCGGATATCCAATTTTTCGGATCGGATCACTGGATTATCCGAAAAATTGAGTTTTTAGCCATAATTTATAAAAAACAAGGTAAAATAGCAAAATAAACCCAAAATATTAAAATTCAATATAAATTTACTAAAAGAAAAATTTTACCACTGAGTAATGGCCTAATTAAAAAATGATATCAAATTTAATTTGGGAGTAACTTTGGTAATTTTACCTAAACAAACAAAAAAAA